AACTGAGTGTGAAGTGAAATCATTTAGATCGGTAAGGGAACTCCGCAAAACCTTGATCTTTCTCGAACATAGGTTCTGGATTGACAATAACGGCACTTTTCTAAAAAAAATTTTGGACCCGCCACTGAGGAATGATTTCAATGATTCAGCACGTATAAACCAAATGCATGACATTTTCAATAATTATATTTTTTACCTTCTGAAAATAATTACTATAATATGAATTAAATTGAATATCGAATACAGACAAGAACAGGTGTTAAGTTGACTTATTATGTAAGTTTGTGCTTATACAAAGAATAAGAACAGGCCCGTAGGAAGCCAGAGAGGGTTCAAGTGGGATTTACCACCTCAAATCAACCCCACCGTGGTTGGGCTGTGACCCAGAAAAAATTGTAAAAATACGGTAGCCTATCACTCGATGCACGGAAATGGCACTCTGAGACTGTACAAGTAGTGTTGGAATACTATTTTTCGACAGAGGGTTTGGAGTTTTTTCCCCCGACCCTGTGTGCTTTCTGGTGCCAACGTCCAATTCACTGAGCCACCGAGGACCCTTCTACAACCAGCACATTACTACATTCCTCTCCACACAGACTTTGGTAAACTTCAAATGGACAGGAACTTTTTGTTGATATTCTGGTGTTTTAACGCCAATGAATCTCATAAAGCTTACAGACAAGGACTCCATTTCTATACTCTCTTTTTTGTTTGTTTTTTGTTTTGTTTGTTAACCTTGTCTTTTTTCTGTGTTCAGGGCCATATCCAGGATTACCATTTAGGGGTACGGGGTATGAAAATGTGGACCAACAGTAGAACCGGTAGCAGTGGCGGATTCATTTTTTTTTCTATGTGAATATAACGATTTATGTTAACAGCGATATTATGTAAGTATAATGTAAAGCTAAAGATGCGCGAAGACTAAATTTTTAACATTCGTATCAAATTGATTCCGTAGTAAATAAAACAGTCACACAGCTGTCTCATAATGCAATCTGTCTTTATTCGTTTTATTCTTTTGGAAGGTTACGGTAATGAGATTTATGATTCCTTTTTAACCTTATTCATTTTCCACCACAAACACATCTTTTCGCCTAATTCGTGGGCAAAAAACTTAACTTATATACAGGGACCAACACTTTCTCGCCCCTGGGACCCTTGAATCGCCGTTTACGCCGATAAAATGTAAAGATTTAAGACTCCTTTAAATTTTTATTATACAAAATAAAATGTATATTCGGTACACTCTCGAGACTGTCTTAAAAATGTGGATCTCTTCCGATTTCAGAAGGGTAAAAGGATTACTAACGCACCTACCACCCCTTTCTCCTCCCGCTGGATACATGCCTAAACTTTTTTTAATGAAGGTAAACTGCACATGACGCACGCATTGCACCTTCGATACAACTCTGCCAGTAATTGTTAATCCAGAGTAACCGTTAAATTAAAACTTCTCGGGAACGACTGGCCCTGCCAACAGTATCACACCGATGCATAAACCCTAATAAATTTACGTCATGACGATCTTTTCTTCACCTTTGCGTGTCGTTTCTAATTTTCCGCGAAAATGTTATTAATAATGTACACATTTCTCTGGTATACAAACAGATCCATAGACCATGAGACTGACCTGTTGGCAGGCCGGCAGTCAAGGGCGGTGGGGACAAGGAGGCATGATCACCTGTTACATTTGTGCCCCCCACCCCACCCCAAAAAGAAAATAAATAGGCCTATATCAAAGTAGTAAAAAATAACAAATGAGCAACAAATAGGGGCCTATTTATAATTTGTATGTTTCATAATGTATAGGTCTTTACAATCCAGACAAGATACATTTATAGGCCTATTCACGATTATTATTCTAACCTCGAAACCTCAGCGGCAATAACCGGAATGTCTTTACTTCAAGATTAGGTTAGTTCCATGGTTGATGCTGGTTATAGTTAAGGCCAGAATCGTGCCAGTTTCGTACTTTGAGGGTTGCATACCGTATAAAAATTGACTGTGACTGTCAAAGTAAGACCCTCTAGAATCTGAGAGTGCAGCTATTTAGAGCATTAGAGATTTTTGAATATTTAAAAACTAGGGGCACCTCTTTTTTTGACTTATCCTCCAGTTTGTAAGCGTTTGTACTCCTGAAAATGTGAAAAACTATTCATAGCCCTAAACCGTTCTCGAGTTTTTCGTCAAACACCCGTTTTGTGTCTTTGATGAGAGTGTTTCCAATTGTCATACCATTGTTTTGTGCGAACCCTTTACTTGGTGCCCTCTCAAAATATTTATGTCATCCCTACCACAAGCTACGGGTCTACCTCTTGAAGAATGATTAATTATTAAATTATACACAGTAAAGGAAAATTTATGAGCGCCCTCTAGTATAGAGTGCAACATTATCGTCGCCCTCTATGGTTAGCTACTTATGCATATTCATTAATATTATTATATGCATTGTCACAAATATACAATCTATGTTGCAATTATATTCTACTATAATTGATTATATCATTTAATAATATTACAGAATTATATTCATTTATAACATGATATACAAATTAATTAAAATGTTAATGATTTATTAAAGTGAGAAAACAACATCATTCCAATACGATAGAATGTACGATACATATACTTCATAAACCATATGCCGTGACACTCTGGTTTCTCTGCATCACGCATAAATCTTTCGCCTTTTACTAAAGATTTCCGTGCAGAGGAACACTCATTGAGTTTAAACTCAATTTTTCTTAGCCCTGTCTTGCGAGATAGGGTAATCAATGTTAAAAAGGTAGAACTATTGTCTTTGACTGTGTCACTATTTTAGTTGTGGTTGTAAGACAACAATTTTAATGGCGTTCTAATAATATATATATATATATATATATATATAGTAATATATATATTATTTATTAGTGCTATAAATTGAAGTAATATTGATTTTTCATCTTCTTTCAATTAACTCCTTGTATTATCATATATATGACAATAATTATATATATATTATCATATATATATATATATATAATTCTGTATACAGTATTGTAATTCTATTCTGTTAATAAATGTTGATTTAATTGATTGAATATTTAGACCTGTTAAAAGAAAGTTAATACATGTTGATTTAATTGATTGAATATTTAGACTAAACTCTCTTACCATGCCAAAGCAGAATAAAGAATAAAAAAAAAAAAAAAGAGTCTAAAATTTGTCTTCATCTTCTTATGGGGTAATTTAACTAAAAGCATGGGCAAAGTCATTTTTTCAGGAAAGGGCTGTTCAGTTTATTTCAGAAAATATTATTAAATATTAAACTGTTTTGGATTAAAACAATGAATAAAATAGTGAGTACCAAGCAATATCTTCAACATAATAATAAGAACAAACATGTACATGAATCACAAATAACTTTAATTTACATATTTGATATTTACAATATTTATATTCTACTAGTCTGTTACAACAATGAGGCACCTTCATTTAAAATGGATGACGAACGTATTTGTAAATGCTCGCTATAAACTGGATGGTGGTTAAACCCATGCTCTTACGTATCTTGATAAACTTTTAGCAGGAAAACATGATTAATAATAAATGTATTGTTTTGTTGTTATAATAAAAACAATTATAATAATAATATAATAGCAGTGAACTACTTAAAATTTAAAAAAATAATAATATTAATAACATCAATAAAAACAATAATAATGAAATATACAATAACAATAATAATTACAATATTCATTATTATAATAAGTATCCAAATGAATTTCAAAATAACAATAACAGTAGCCATAACAATAATGACAATAATTATACTATAAGGTAAATTTAGAAATGTTTTAAATACACTTTGGCTCTGATGAATGATATGAAAGATGTTGGTTTTTACAAAAAGACATCAAATATTTGCATTTTGTATCAGATAAATATTTACACTATAAAGAATAATAATCATTCAACAGTGATTAACATAAGATGCCAAATTCATAACACATTTCTTTATACATTCAAATACTGTTTATACCAGTCAAATATTGTATCATATATAATTAATACTTTAGCCTTTGTGACATTTTCAATAACCTTTATAAACATAGATACTTTAAAAGAATGATATGAATAAACATCTATAAAACCAAATAAAAAAGTAGAAGAAATACTGCTATTTTTGAATTTGATGCATGCACAATATATGTTAAGGATGGAAATTACTTGACTCATGCAAAGTTACTGTAGATCAGCATTAAAAATACCAAACAGTTAAAACAAACAATAATGAAGGGTTTAATACCCTATCCACACTATCAGACATTACTGTAAAACCTCAAATTGAAGCCCTGGGCTTCTTTTTTTGCGAACCTTAGATAGGCTTCTTTTCGAGACTACGTTTGCAAAGTAAAGAGGGGACTTCTTTTTAAAATGAATGCCATAAATTTTGTGAATTTGTACTATAAAACAATAAATAAGGCCACTGTAACATCAGTCTGTATCATAGTGTATTTAACTGGCATTAAATCACCTAAACTACTGTATCAACCAAGCTTGTATTTAATTTATTTTGTTTACCGAAGTTCATGTACAGCGTATGTACTGTACTATCTCGAAAAGAAGCCTATGCTATCTTGAAAAGAAGCCCATGAACTTATTTTCAAGATGGGCTTGTTCTTGAGGCTAATTTTGCAAACTAAAGAGTGGGCTTCAATTCGAAATTAAGCCCATGGGCTTCAATTTGGTTTTTTTTACGGTATGTCACAAATACTGGTGATTTGCCTATGGGTATCATCATGCCCATATATGGTGCAATTCATACAATTTTACACATAACATTAAATAGTGTGGACAGAGCTTTAGGCAGGCATACATTGAGGTTTCCTGTCAAACACAACAGACAATGCTTGATCAAACTTTGTATGATGAAACAGAAAAATCATTCCTTTTCCAACAGACATGCAAAGCCACGTGAATTGTTTGATCAAATGTGTCTGAAACACTACCATATCATGGATGATAATATTTTTTACTCCATGACTGAGCATACAATGTTGGATCAAAGTCTTATTAATGTTTGCCCAACTTTACTGAAAGGATATAATCTTTTACAAATTTTCCGTAAGTCCAAACTTGTTTGTACTGTAAACCACTATTATAAATGCTTGGCTTAAAATCTTTGGTATAAAGGAAGCTATTATAATAGTTCTACATAACAGCTAAGTAACTTTCCATGAAAAAGTTAAATGATCAAAGAAAAACTTTATCTGTTTGTCGTCACTTTCTTTAATTGTCTCCGACCAACACGAACACCTTGAAAACACAATTCCAAGAAGGAAGTAATACTAGGCTAAATAGATGGTAAACAGTCTGTAATGTACTTAGATTAATCTTAACTGGCCAATCAGAGATACAGATGATGTTTGCCATACAAAAGTTTGAATAGTACATCAATAAATTAAGGGCAGATGGTTCATAATCTTTTCCACAGTCAAAATAACTGGGATGTTTGGAGGGAGTAATATGTGCCTCTGCACCACTCCCCCCCCCAATTCTTGAACTGCCACTGAACTGAGAACACTTTAATTAACAGTAATAAAAAATATGTATAATTTCATCAAATTATAGGAAACGGTAAGTGTGGTGTATTTTTATTTTTTCAAATGCCACTGTATATATATTGTTGGAATCGATGTTACTCTTTCCATTGCTTTGATAACAACTTTGAGAGAGGAAATGACTCCAATCAGTTTGCTTTTTATAATCTTTGAATTACACTAGTTAAAATACTGTATGGTGACCAAGCATTTGGGTCACATTCCATCTTTTATACTAGCAGCAATGTACTATTACAAGGAGTAATACCCGAAAAATTTCTCATAAAAAAACTAGCAACAGAGAACCTGGTAGCGATGATTGAGAAGACTAGCAACTGCCGGAAAAATTATTCCAAGAAATTCCCTTGTAACTACGCTTTGTAACATACAAACATCTGCAGCATATTTTCATCAGTCAAAAGTTCAATTGATAATAAACTTTAAAGATGTTATTGTCCCCTAAAAATGACGAAAAATCATAAAAAATAATCATGAAACTAACTTGCTTTTTTTGAAGTAACAAATTTGAGCATAGAAATTTAAATGGAATTTAAAAAAATGTGCAGGCCTACCCTGAATTTTATACTGGAAAATAACAAAACACTGCCAATAAGTGGAAGTACCCTTATCCTTTTTCACTGTAAACATTTTTTAAATATTCTGTGTTCAAGTACATAATTGTGTTCGAGTACATAATTGAGCAACTTACTTTTAAAGATGATTTTTATGATTTTAAAAACATTTTGCATGGAACAATGCATCTTTAACTAAAATGAGCATTATATATATATGTATGCTATATACAGTTTCTCTATGGGTTCACATATCATTCCCTCAATATTACTGTTCTATTTATGTCAGCCTGGCCCATATCATACTCTCTTCAATTCTTGTGTCGTGACACATCGTCAACCAATTGCTTGTCATCTACCACCAGTGAGCCAACAACTTTGATGTCTGCATCCAGAAAGATATGTACATTTTGCATTTAATATTTCTTCTGAAAGTAGTCATAAAATTTCATTACTTTCATGCAACACCTTAAAATTAGCTTCCCCTTTAGCAAGCAACGGCTTCACATTCCAATTATTGCACTTGCGAATCTGTCATCGTTTGTCGCCTTACATCACTACACACATTTTACCCTTTTCGGCTTTCACTACGGTTGTTTTCACACGAACAGGTGATTGGAAGCCATCCTTCCTTCGACGAAATGATTGCCTTATTGATAGTTTTCTGCCAACTGATGGCAAGTCCATATATGATTTCTGTAGACTAAGTTTACCGATTGAAGCGAGGGCGGCATTCTCAAAGACCTCTCTTACGCTGTGCAAGTTGGTTTTCGCTGAACATTCCACAAAGGCAGCTGCTCCTATTTGCCTTGCTACCTTGGTTCCCTATAAAAATGAAGAGAAAAAATATGTTTGAAAGATTATGTAATAGCTCATTCACTACTATATAGTTGATTAATTTATCTGTATTTTCATGATTATTAATAATTCTACCTATTAGGTTTCATCTCAAACACGCCCATAATATATAGGTCAGTTTGCAAGCAATCTGCGCTATACTAAATTATCGAGATTTCAAAAGAATACCACTTTACAAGGATAACAAGTAGTTTAAAAAATAAGTATAAGTAAACAAGGTCAATAGGTTATATGAGAAGCTGATGTCAGACTTATAAGAAGCCACATTGCAAAACACAGATGTTTAAACGATAATGGGTATTTCCAGCCCAAATATCTTAGTATTATTTTCCAGAAGATGAAATATTTCACCAAGTTATAAAAGCATAGAACCATCTGCTATTTTGCTTTTATACTTATTTTACTTCCGACAGGGGTACAGGGTTTTTCAAATGGTAGGCCTGTGCCCACTATCACTCAACTGATTAATGAACTGTTTGAAAAGAATCATCTAACATATCTACATACGGTAGTGTAATAATTTTGACAAAGTTCAACAGGCACGGATTCCAACTGTCCCGCTTTCGGCAGGCCTGTCTCGGAGTCGTGTCCCACTGTCCTGCCCAACCCCCAAATTGCCCCACTTTTCAACTTTTTTGTATAATAAAAAATAATTACGATAATACCCAAGAAACTCCCACAGTATACTCTGCACGCTAGGCCCTAGAGACGGTGTGTAGAGTGGTTAGACTATGCAGTAGAGCATGAGGACATAGAACTAAGGTAGGCCTACTATGAACGGTAACCGATCATTGTGTCACGCTTCATTTCGGTCGCGGTATCTTTGTCATGAAATAAGTATCAATTTTAGATTAATTGGTCATACCTTTGTTTTCATTTACATTATGTTCTGATCATGTTTATAATAAATACATATATAAATATATGAAAATATACTGAATGGTATGATGAAAAAATAAAGGAAATATACTATTACTTTCTTATTTAAATTTTCCATGAAAATTTATCAATTTGTTTATAATTACATATATTTTAATCGCCGTTTCAGGGTTCTTTTATATACACTAGGCCGACAAAATCAATCATATTGCTAGGCCTATTTCTAGTTGCATAGAACCTAACTAAAGAGATTAATATATAAGTAGTGAATAATAAGGAAACGTTCCCACAAATAAGTTCTCACAGTAGGCTACTCTTGAGGTGAAGCAGACACATGGCTTGTATTTTCTTGTTTGTTTTATTTCCATTGCTGACACATAAAATACCGTGACCGAAATGAACGCGCGACTGAATTGAAGGTGTGACCGAGATGATCAGATACCCTCTGGTTTATTTCGAGGCCTCACTCAATGTGTATGCTAGGCCTGTACTAGTGTACACCCCTAAGTTGTCCCAAAATGTGTTGTGCCCCGCTTGAACAAAAATTCTGTTTTCTGGAATGATGTGTTTCCTGCATTTGGACGGTTGGGGGTTGGAATGTCTGTAGGGGTACTATACAAATTAGTAACCATCAATCAAATTTTTTATAGTGGGAAAAGGGCAAGGTATGAAAACATGCCAATTATTTTCTGCTTAAACAATGTGACAAATTCATGACATTTCAATAAGCATTTGTGGCAAAGACAAGCCAAAGCAGTCACTCGTCACAATTCGTGTTTCAGAGATAATGGCCAAAACATGCTGGGATGTCAAAATTTTTAAAATCTATTTTATTGAACTAAACTAACTTTCATATATTTATACATTAGGCCATGCTGTTATTTTCCCTATTTTCAATGTTAAAACAACAATTTTTAACAATTTGGTGATGGTTTCTGCCTGAGAAATTCATTTTACTTTTTCACGCTGTATTGGTTTGGCTTGTCTTTGCCACATTTCAAGAAAATATAAATTTTTCTTACCCTATCATGGGATACTGGCATTTTCTTCATTGTTCCAAGCTCTGACAAAATTTGGACATTGTTTCTTAAATCACTTTTGCAGCCTGTTAAGATTATTGGGGAATTTGAACAATGCTTTTGAATCTCAGGCTGCCACTGAAAGAAAAAAATAAAAAATATACCGTATTATAATTAGAATTTATTCTGTAAGGATTTAATGAGTGCAATTTGTTATTAGCAGTCAATACAGTATTATTGAAATGACAGTAATAAATCATAAAATAATTATAACAATAATAAATAAATATTATTCATTTCAATTAACGATCAAAATATTACAAAGAAATACTGTAGACCAGCATTATAGAAAGAACTGATCGATAGTAGTATAAATTTGATCATACTTCGTTTCTTCATTGTATTTATTATTCACATATTTATTCATTTGATAGAGTTTTGCCAAAAAAATATTAACAGAAGTGAGATGTTTCATTTTTCTCTACAAGATATCGTTAATGTCACAGAAAATTTGCATAATAATTAGCATAAAATTACTATAAAATTTGCAATCACTACCAATTGCTAAGGGTCACAGATGACTGCCAAAGCGTCACGGTCAACTTCTACGCATCAAGAGACGTATCAATTACTGTGACGCTTTTAGTGACCCTCGGGAGAACACTATATTTGTTGGTCTAATGTGTAAGGACATACTTTGTAAAAAAGGGACTCAAAATTATTCTTATGAATATTCAAAATGTTATACATCATATAAAATGATATGTTAATTAATATTACTTCAGTCAGGAGCTTTTTACATGAAGAGAAGGACAAAATATTAACTACTAGGTAACCAAAAATAACATAAAAGCATAATCTAGAGTAGAGTATATGAAAGCCAAAGAGAGAACAACAGACAACACATTTTCCTAATAATAACCTTGCTACATTATTAAATTGATAATATCTGATATTAATTTATATATCATGTATGGTCATAACGTTTGGTCTTCATCTTTACCCTAGCTGCACTGATGAGGCCTAGAAGGCCGAAACGGATCCGTCTGCAGATATTGGGATTTTTTCCAGTGGATATTTAGTTTGTTTTGTCATTCTTGATCGGATTTTCTCTACTGTTCCGTTTAAACTTTATATTATCATTATTTGCATTTATGTGGCTGCTCGTTGTTTTTATGGGTTTATCCCATTTGCCATTAATATATATAAATTTAAAAGTATATAGTATGCAACAAAGTTTTACAGTACTCTACCTTTTCAATAACACTTTTAAGAGTATCTGGTCGACTGATGTCATAGCAAATGATAGCTGCCGTGGTATCAGGGTAGGCTAAGTGACGAACATTATCATACTCATGTTTACCTGAAAAATTGAAAATAATATCAGTTAAGAACAAATTATATGCAGGTAAATTCAATGATACATTTCTGCATATGTGCTGAGGGTAAAATATGATATGAGTTATGAGGTGACTCTACATAAATAAGGTTTACAGTAAAATTACAAGAATAAGAAATATCCCAGTTATAGGTCACCATACTACTGTACTGTATCATATGCCAACATTCTAATGCAATTCAGGTGTCTGATTATAATTTAGCCAGATCCAGTAGAGGGTACAAAACATTTTTTCTGTATGCTCACCCTTTCACCAGAATTACCCATAATAAAATTATGACTTTGGTCATTCTTAAATCATCCTTATATATTTTCATTAAAGAAAACAATACTGTTTAGCAAAGATCTTATAATAACAAGATAGCGTTCTCCGCAATTTCTTTGTACAAATTTTGCAGTAATGCAGTGCAGGACGCCCTCTTACAATTACAATTACTTTTGAACTTTGACATCTATGATCTCAGTGCAAATTCTGAAACAAACGCCATAGTAACAACTAGGACGCCCTCATTCAATTACAATTATTTTCTTTGTGAACTGGACGCTTCTATTTGTTACATGCAAATCACAGAGAATGCTATCTTGTTATTATAAGATCTTTGCTGTTTATCCCCACCCCATATAGAATATGCTTTGTTGCATTGTTAAAATGATGAAAACAATGGATGACCCCTTAGTGAGCCATACAAAATCATTCTCAACTTCTCAACTCTGAATTTTAAAATATTTCCTTAGTCTGTGGTTTTGTTTTTTGTCACTTAATTATACTGTAATATTTTTGTCTAAATTTTTGTCAAGAATAATGATATACAGTAGCTTTTCCCTTTCACTTCCTGATTTATTTTGAGCGCAATGTATTTTCTTGGATATTTTTATCATAAACCTTTTGGGTGGAGGTAGTTTCCTTGTTGCATGGTTTAGTCATGATACTAGTAGCCTCTGTTTTATTAAACCATACAGTATGATAACTGCAATGGGTAATCCACCCCCCATTTTCACCCTCATCTAGCCTTCTAAATCTAATGGCTGGCATATTTATGATAGGCTGGTTAACATATATGCTCTTCATTAGCTGCATACTAATCAAGCGTAGGTAGCCGATAAATATTCACGAATGGAATTTCCGAAAGTGTTAATGTAAATATTTCAGCTACAACTCTGACATCAGGTTTGTAATCTTGTTAATTCTTTGAGGGAATACATTAATTAATAATTCATTTTAATTACTGCATAGGCAGAATAAACAGAAGAGAGTGTAAATTTAAATAAACATGATAGTTCATTTTATGTTACTGTAATTTTTATTACCAAAAATTCAAAAAAAAAAATGTGCCATCCTCTTTACACTTACCTACTGTAACAATGAAAGCAAAATTCTAAAAATTTATTGAATAATTAATGATAATATCTGAGTATAGGCCTAATCAAATAACAATAAAATAAATAAATAATAAATATAATAAATAATATAATAATAAATAAATGAAATTCAAATGAAGCCCTATCCAGACTATTAAATTTTATTTGAAAAAAAAACACTGATATGCCTAAATATAGTCACGATGACATCATATCATGACCATGTATAGGTATATCATGACTATATATGGGCATACAACAGTTTAATGTCAAAGAAAATTTGATAGTCAAGGAAGAACTTTAAATTTAAAGCAAAAAAAAAACAAAAACGTATAAGTTCCAAGTCGTGCACATATTATAGTCAAATACAATCTGTGAAATATTGAATGTAGGACAGAAATTATGCATGTGTGGCATGTTGCGTGACTGTCAAGCTATTTAGATTACCTGGTTATTTCAATTATTTCAGACTTATAATGCAAATTTGTAATTTATCTTGCTTGGTTCGATTTAAAGTGTGCAAGTGTTTTATGTAGTAATAACATTAAGGAAGTGTATACTCTATTGCCTGTGACCTAAATTTGCCTATTCTGAGCATTAGGGTTGTAGGAATAAGGCCTCGCTGCATCACAAACCTGCTGTGTAAATGTTTTTTGTGTTTTAAGTAATAATTATTTTTTAATTTGTGAACAAATTATTTTAATGTTTTGTTTTTAGATCTTTGTAATGGTAGAATATGTTCATGAATCCTTAAAATTCTGTTAAACCATTCATTGGTTTATTCATTTCATTATATCAAATCAATAGCAATTACCCCAATACCCCCACCCCCTACATGCACACACACAAAAAAACTTTATGCCTCCCCATTATACCCTCCCACTGAAGATTTTTCAGCAGAAGGTTTTACAACTCAAGTAGTTAAAAATCCCCTCCCACAAAATTACCATCCCTTACCGTATCACTGATCCCCTCTCATTTTCTCTAACAATCAGCTGCAATTATTAATAATTTTAAGATAGAGTATGCCACTTTAAGTAACATTTATCTTTTATCCAAATTTTGGGAAATAACTACTAAATTAATAATAAACATTTAGCATAGTGTATTTTTGTTAATTAAGTTTAAATAGGTCAAATAAGAGTTTTCAATTGTATTTTGCTTTGACATTGCCTTGTTTTGTTTTTGCTTTTTACACTGACTGCTAAATAAATTCAGTTCAGTTCAACTTTCTCCTTAATTTGCGCTATAAAAATTATTATTACTATTATCATTAACAGTTCCCATTATCAATACTTTAAGATATGCCACTGCATATAACTTTTTATCCAAATTTGGGGAAATAACTACATAAAGTAAACCTTTGGTTTATTATTATAAACAATCATATTTTAAAAGCAACTAATATGACCAGCAGATTATATCTATTCCTACAGTATGTAAAGATTCCCAGCGGAAATAATGTAAACACCTCGCTGCATCCAATGTAGAAGATGCTTTTAAACATGGTCTGCTTGATGAACTGAATTAAATTTCTCATCATCGGGGGATAAAAATACCCCCACTGGAGCACGGCTAATTCGCTGTTGTTCCATGCTATGCATCATCGGAGCAAGTAAATGCAGAAGCTATGCTGCCGATTATTTTCCGCCGTGTATCTTTGAACAGGTGGCGGTCTTATTAGCGTACTATGTCAGTATGCCTGGAGGTCCATCCCCTGCAATGTGCTCTAAGTATATGAAACTTATAGTGTTTGCAAAGTAATGTTAAGTGGGTTTACATCAAGTTCATTCTTACCCTGAGGCCAACAGAAATACTTGTTAATAAATATTTGTAATAATTTATTCATAGTAGGGTGCATAATTAGGTTTATTATAGTAAAATACAATTTATTTTATTTTCCTATTCATTTGAAGTACAGTAATGGAATTATGTACCATTTTAAATACCATAGAGGAATTTTAGGAAGTGAAAAATTACATTACTCCTAAAATTTTTGGACAATATTATTAAAAAGGAAGGCAAATAGGCAATGGCCCTTACCGTAGTTATAAAGAGCAAAGATCTAATTGCCATAATCACCACCAATAATTATTTTTAAAGATATAATCATTATACTATAAACTATTATAATAATATTATTATTTTAATTGTATACTTCAATAATTAGTAGAAATGTATGATTTGGTATTTACTACAGCTCACTGAATAATTAAGAATATATAAATAGTTAATAAATATATGAAATGGATGAATAAATAAAAAGATGCAAGAAATTATGATCAACAAAAGTATTAATAAATCTTACTTTATAAACTCACTCCAACTTTTAAAAAAAAAATGAATTAATTGCAAACCTTACATTTACTTTAGAGTTATAAGTTACACTATAACATCAGAAATTCTAAACTTTGTGATAAAAATATTTTTACCTAGAAGAACCAACAGCAGTATTCACAACACTCAATTTCTCAAAGACAATCATATTGATAGCCAAGGCCCTCTTATCCCCATTGCATTGCAGTAATGCGTAAATCTGAAAATTTATGTTTACGTTCCAACAGAGCGAGACAACTGGCACTACAGTATTACAACAATAGAGCAGGTCAGGGAATCCAACCGAGAAACCTATACATAGACCTCTAAAGAAGCAGCAAATACTGAACAGCAGTTGGACGAGCCAAGATTTTAGGAAATACTGAATGACCCTTGACATTTTTTTAATTAATTTAACTGAAAGGTTTTTAAGATTTAAAAAGTGCAAAATGACATATGGATAAACCTACTGTACACACAAACTTGATGTATTCTACTATAAGAGGTTAGAATTTGGTGACTCACATATTTGGGAAATCCCTTTATTGTTTTAAATAGTCTGTTTCAGTATAGTACAGTAGGCCTACCATAATATTTGTAAGTTACAGTAAATGATGCGTATGAAAATTCATATGGCATGACACCTACTGTACATTTGATGATATCTAGCTAACTTTACCCGACACTACGCAAACTTCACCTTGTTTTAATTATACCACAGTTAGTATACATGGCCACACCCACCAGTTATTGATATGTACAAGTGGTATATATAAATGAATCAAAGTACACAGTAGACACAAATCCAAACCCCCTGGATATTTCAGAATTCCGAATATGTAAAGCAATCACGCTCATGATTACTCACTACAGTACTGTGACAAAAAGTAATTACATTTATAGCAAATTATTTTAGCTGAAATTGTAAAATAATTAAATTTTAATGTTTAATAATTACTGTATGTATCTTAAAATTTAAAAAAAGAGAGAATATTCAGGATATTATAGTACAGCTAAAAAGATAAACTAATACCTACAGTAAAGTTTCTAAAAAAAGATAAACCAACAATACACTTTTTTTGATTCATTATATCATTTCATGTTTACCTTTTGATCTGATTATTCCAACTACATATTATTTTTGTCATAATATCAGAATATCATATAAAACTATATCCTGGATCCATTGTTCAAATGAATTTAAATCATACAAAAAGTAACTGGCCTAAGAAAAACAATATGAGAATTAAGAATACAAAAGTAAAATAGAATATAAAATAAAGCTGGCC